AAGTCTTCTTTGGTTCATTTGTTTTTCATCAAAACGATACAGAATTTATGACAAGTAAAGAAAAAGGGGCAATATTAATCAACTGTGTTCATCTCATTTTTTATTCAGAAGACTTCTTTGTTTCTTTGTATGATCGAAAAACGATAATCCAAATAAGGAAAAAATCGCCCCCCAAAAAAGTGGGGGAGGCGGCTGCAAAAAAAGGAAGCGGGCGGGGACGCTAAACACGTATTTCTTTTTTTTTTGTTACTTAACCTAATACAAAACTAAAACTACTAATACCCAACTTAATAACTAATACCTTAAATGTTCAAACATTTGGATATACTCCAGGTTGTATAATATCATAAGGACGAAAATATGTTTCTTAAAATAAAACATAACAGAGTAATATATAAAACACCCTTTAATTAAATAAAGTCACAACCAGCTTAAGCATTTAGAAGTGCTTTAATAGTGGGGTATACTTTGGAGAAATTCTCTGGAGTTATGCAAAAGGACCTTTGTAATCGCTACATACATCAACTAAGAACGTTTCCTTTCTGGTTACAACTCCGGAAATGTAATATCCACCTTTATCAATGAAATGTACAAGCTTTATTCATTAAAAGCCCGAATTATTTTAAACATATGTTTAAACCATAAAGTTCAAACATTAACATATTACCTTTACGAAAATTCAAAATTTGCACATCTCCGAATCCATTAATAAAATTCTCTACATCCAAAACTAAATCAAAATATCTTGAAGTACAATCCAGTAACTACTCTTCGTTTCCTTGACGACTTTTGTGTACAATAGTGGAACTTCTTTATAGTGAGGTCAAAACTCAACTCAGATGCAATAGCTAAGAACATGGAATGGAATGTTTGATATTTAATTCGACACGCACTGTTTTATGGCCCCAAGTAAGTTTAAAAGGATGATTGTTACAGTGTATTCTTAGATGTCAAATCTCAAATAATACTCACAGCTCCCATTGTTTCGAAATCAATAAAAACACGTCGGATCAAGTTCTTTATAACGCACTTTTTCAGGGGACAGAGAATAACGTGGTTTTCTTTTTTTTTATTTTCTTTCCAATCGTTGGCGTGAGAAATACTACAGGATTTTACATTTTAGATAACGTCAGAATTTTTAATACTGTTTAACGCGAAAGTTCTTTGACCATAGAAGTACGTCACCATGATAACTGATAAATTTTCTCCAACTTTTATTATTCAGAAGTTGTTTATAGCTTTCTCATATCCCTGACTAGGCAAAATAACAAAACTCTGGAAACTACATTCCAAATGGTAGTCGGGCGTGGCCTAGTGGTTAGCGTGCCAGACGGTAGATCAAGAAAGCGCAATGATTTTAGCTGTGGGTACAATATAAAAATGGCAATTAATTATTTTATTATGTCGAAAGCCCTCGTGGCGAAGAGTGCTTCTAGCTAGGTGGCTTCCTTCTGGTCAACATTTCAAAATTAGGGAGCATATATTTTAACCATAGAGGTCCTTAATCCTAATAGTTTTTTCACGATATATATATATAATAATATTTGAATATATCACAACTCGCAAACTAGAGTTGATCAGTAATTTTCAACATAATCTTTAGAATCAACATCGTCAAATTACTCAGAAACAGTTGCATTCTTTCAAGTAGCGAAGAAAATGTTTTGCTGTTGCCCCGTGTAATTTGAGTGAAATATTATATTGTTGGAGTGAATCTTGTAAAATAGATTTTGTTCTTATTCGAACTGCTATTTGTACCCCACAAAGGAAGTCTTGTCAACGTGAATACTTGTAAATCTATCACAATATCTAAAAAAAGAAAGTGGTAGTTTCAGTAACCTGATAGAATCCCGGCAGTATGAAGTCGAAATTATTAAACAACTTCAATTTTTTTTTGTCGCATCATTCTAAATTGTGAATGACAACTAGTTACGACCGCAAATACTTTTACTCTAAATAAAGACATAACTTAGGGTGTGTATATCGAAAAAATAGAAGCACACAGCTGGTGACTCAAGAATAGAAAAATGTTATGAGATTTTATACATTTCCTTGCTGTAGTTGTCTACAGAATGATACACGTGATTAACAATAGATGACTTTTTGTTTTGCGCTGTGTGAAGCTAGGTGGCGTGAAACTGGGAAGCACTGAAGAAAAAATTAATAAGGAGTA